GAAGGCTTTGTTTATTAATGTATGTGATATGTGACTGTATTTAACACAGTTGCTTTTTGGTAAAAAAGCTGAAAAACTTCCTTTAGCAATTAAATTTCTAAGCATTCTTTTAGACACTAGCCTATCAGATAGGTTTCATTTTATGTTAATAATTTTTTTATAATAGGTTATATAGAGGAGACCAATTGACAGCTTTGTCCATGACATATACAAAAATAAAGCATTTATTTAGGATCTAGAGTTGCTCTTCAGAAGAGTGTTCTCTTTGTTTAGAAAATTGCTATTGTACTCGATGCAGGTTAGTTAAGAATTGAACAAGTGAGGATGAGTGCAGTTTAAATTGTTGCCAGTATTTTTTACCACCAAGAGAAAGAAACAGCAATCATTTTAAAAGTATTCTGATAACTTAATTATATTTCATTTCGTTAAGAGTAGGCCTGTATGGTGTTGCATTTAATAGATTTAAGTTATATACAACCAAAGGTAGTTTTTGTATCAGTTTTTTTGTGTTAGGTTTTAAATTTAGCCTATATGCCATGTATTTAAGTATATTATACCAAAGTCAGCTTGTTGCAATACTCGATGCTGTGGTGATAAAAGTTTAATAAATTGTTTTGTCATCCCATGTCAGACATTTTGTGAGGAGAATCATAAGTAAGTTCTTGGGAGTGAAAGGGTTTCTTGAAGAGGGGTTAATGTTTGTGCTCTCAATATCTTCCTGGCTGCCACCAGTGGTTATCGCAATCATGCAATCTCTTGTAGGTATTTTGGTAAACATATAATTTAAATTTTCCTCCTACCTTATTTTGATGAGCTACTTTGTTTGGTTTATCACATTGATATTTTGGAAATACACACATACTTTGTTTTAGTAGCATACAATGAACAGGGTTGGACACCTGCTCAGCTGTGTTACAAGCCACCAGACTAGCAATTTCTGAAATTTATTTGCCTGAAAAGGAACTTTGTTGCCCAGGTTAGCTTTCTTCTTGGGGTCTATTTTATCCTTATTTACATTGCCCTTACATGAAAAGGAAAACCCTTAGGGTTTAATTTCAAAATGAAATACAACTGTTTTGTTTAATTTGTATTGCTTGTGAAAACATTTCCTTTGAAATATTGATGTTAGCAGCTCTTAATGGTCCTCTTCTTGGTCTCTCAACTTATTGTCATTCTCCAACTCATCATAAGAATAATAGTCAGACAGATCTCCATGATCAGCCACAGCATTAAGTTGATCAAACTCCATTCTTCCATTCATTCACTTGTATTCTGCTCTTGTAACAGGGCATAAGTAATAAAGACAGCAAGATATCACCATGGACACATTGCAAAATACAAGCTAATGGTGGAACAAGAAATAGCTATAAATAATTGAAATAATTGATGGAAAATTGAAACTAGCTTTGAATATGATTTTTGTGGTTCAATTTATTCCCTCAGTCCCCTTTTCATATACATATACTTTTAGTTTCCCTGTGTTTTACCTCGTACTTATGGCTGGTGACCAGTTTGAAACACGGAACACAAAGAGAAAACCAAGGGAAACTTTAAGGTTTTGATGGCACTAAGTGATCTACTTTTTGACTTTTTAGATTAAAGTTTATCACTGCTAGACCAACAATTATTTATGGGAAAGCTGACAGGTAAGGACTGAGTGAGTAATTCAAAGTAGCACAGTTGACTGTCAATGA